AACTGCACGGGGCTTCCCCTGCCTCTTTAGAAAGTGGCAGGGGTTTGCCGCTCACCACACTGTTCCCCGACAACCCCTCCTCACTGGACACAAGGCATCCAGCCAGAGGGGGTCACCGGGGAATGGTGCGGTGAGCGACGAACCTCTGCTGTTTTGCAGGGAGGCAGGGGAAGTCCCGCACAGCTGCCGGCGACCGGCAAGCTGGGGAAACCTGATTGTTGGCTGCAAGCCTCCTCCCCTGTCCTTCCTTCCCTTCTCCAGAGCCAAACATCTCCCCTCCCTGCTATAACCCAGTCCCTTTGCTCCCCCAACCTTATGTCCCGGTCCCTGCTGCTAACAAGTGCAGGCTGGAGTTGCGAGTGCCCGTGCGCTTGAAACACGACCCCCACCTTTTCCATTATTTTCAATGGGAAAATTGACCCCGCATAACATGTTTTCACTTAGCACGATCATTTTCTGAAATGTATCTACTATGTTAAGTGAGGAATTACTGTACCTCTGAACAGCAGATACCAGCCTACCTGCTGATCTATTACTAAACTTCAAAGATGAACAAGCTGGTTTAGACTAATTTCCCAGGTCAATACTTGCAAGGATAAATGGCAAAACACCTATTGAATAAATGCCAAGCCAAACAGATCATTTGATTATCTTCACATTCTTATCTTTTACTATTCCTTAGTGCAGTAGAATATCCATAAAGTATTATTGTCTTCTTATTTTGGGATGATGGGAAATGAACGTTAAAAGTTATTATTTATTATAGTTTCCCTTGTGGTCCTGTTTGGGATTTAGCCACATTTCTCACGTGACAAGAGTAAAACTGAAGAAACTGGTGCCTTAATGTAAAAAGATATCTGAAAAAAAGTGAGAAACTGGTCCTTTAAAAATGGGATAATAATAGTACAATAAATAATGGACATTGGGATTTTGATGGCGTATGGAGATCATCAGGAATAGCACAGGTCAAAGTGGAATGTACTACGGGAGGCAAAATGCGAAAGTGGACTGAGAGCCTTATTTTTAGTAACCTGCTTTCTTCTTCATCCTAATGACATGGGTGGGAAACTACTGTGGCCATTAATTAAGCTCAAAGCACCTGATATCAGTGGATAGTGAAAACAGGAAGACCTTTAAAGTTTGTCTCTCAACATTCCCCCTCAAAGACCATTGGATTAAAGACAGAACTAAAATCTCTGCAAAAAGAGGTGTCTCAGAAAAGGCAGTAACCTTCCTAGTGGGAGATTTATGTACTATTTTTCATGAGAGGCAGAACCTATTATCCATGACTTTTCTAATATTTGGACTTACTTCTTACAGAAAATTATTGAAGTTTTATTGCCAGTAATTCTACTAAACTGTTATCAGTTCCCACACCCATGAGCTGTTAAATATATCCTGTATACAGACATTATTAAAAAGTGTTATTTCAGTGTATTTCTTCTGGTGACAATCACAGCTGACAGCGGGCTTCCATGGTTTACATCAAAGACCTTCACAGATGCAAGGAAGCAAACAATCAACTATTGCTATTCAGTATGTCAGACTTATAAAGTGAAGGATATCCTCAGAAAGTTTACAAATGCAACATCATTAAAATGTACAGTAGCTATATTAAAAAATCATAGACTTACCCCTCTTATGTAGAAGAATGCTGGCATGTCTGCGTCCATTTCCATTTTCAACATAACATGAGTAATTTCCCAGGTCCCCCTCTTCCACAGAGTCAAGAATTAATGAGATAGAAACTTCCTGTTCTCCAAGATGTTCCTTAATAACTCTATAAAAATGAATAATATTCTGTTTGTACCATGTCAAAGCATTAGATAATCATGATACAATGTTACTAACAAGTCACAGCACTCTGCATCAAACCATAGCCAAATTTGAAGCCAATCTTAATTAGATTATATTATGCTCTTTTCTTCCTCATTCCTAATGAGGAGGTTTGGTTTTGTAGATGTTAATGAGAGCTGCAGTTAATTGTCTTCCTTAAGCAGCATGATGCACACACTGATAATATATTGTGAGCTTAGAAGGAGACCTTGATGAGAAGTTTGCATGCTGTTTAAAAGCAGGATATAATCTCTTAAAATGATGGGATATGATGTAAGTCTGGAGAGGTTCCAAATGGCTAAATCCAGGTCAAGAGTGATGCTAGCTGTAAGGCCCAAGCTCTGCTTTTGTACAAAGGCACTCTTCTGAGATTCTTTGCAATTTCAATAGGAAGCAACATGACCATTTTTATAGTAAGAAAACTCATTACTTTGTTTTACTGAACAGTTATAAAGCAGCAGTAAAAGCTGGAAGAGTTAATGTTCCATCAGTTAATGCCATTTCAAGTGGATGTTAAAAGTGAGCACCTCCTGGGCACTTTGGATACCACCTGTCTACCCTTTGTACTCACTGTCCCCATACTAGCTTCAGAATTGTTTTTTTAAAAAACCCAATCAAGCAAGCAGGAAATTGCTTCAAATTCTCATCACCTCCACTATCCACATGGCCAAAGAAAATAGAAAACACTCTTCAGGGTCCTCCCTGAATAAACACAAAATAAGTGAGCTGTGAAGAGGGTTATCACCTCTTGAAAACTTTTAAAGCCCCAAGTCTCTGGATGAAAGGTGATGGGGGAGCTTTAAATAAGATATACAGCATAGTACAATTCTATGTAATCTGGTGTATTGGACTAGGGCTCTGTGGAATGCATTTGCTGAAGTGGTTTTTACCCATGAAAGTTTATTCCCAAATAAATCTGTTAATCTTTAAAATGCCACAGGAGTCTTGATTGAATAATCTGGAATATTTACACGGCCCTTAATGTCTTTGATATAAGATTTCCTCTGTTACTTTAGTTTGTCTGAAGATATTCAGTCTTAATTTCAAAATTGGACTACATTAGCAAGGTTATGGAGTAGAAAATCTTTTAGTAACAAATAAAATGTAAATACGCTAACTTTAGTCTGTCATAGGTATTCATTATGGTTAATATAGCTATTGTCTACACTGCATATATAATTCATTAAGAACTCTTTGCTGTCCTGTCATTTTATACAGGTAACTATCTATAACTAAGCAACCAGAGGGAATTAGCAACCAGGGGACCACAAACAGAGGAGTTTGAGAGGGAGAGAATGAAAAAGGCATGAATACTAACTTTGGGATTAGAATTCTGTGTCTGGAGACTGTTTAACCCCTTATTCCCTTTGTCACCCTCATCTAGCCTCAGTCATCCTTGTGATCACCCTCCTCCTGTGTGGTTAACTAGGGGGTAGAGATGACCTAGGAAAGAAGGCCATAAAAGCCAGAGGCTAAGCAACCAGGAGACCACAAACAGAAGAGTTTAAGAGAAAGTTTGCAAGACGGAGTCCTAGTACAATCAGTATCGTTGGGAAGGGTCACATTACCTGTGCCAGGCACTCCTTTCGTTTAGATATTGGTATAGAAAGTACGCTTATTAAGTTTGCAGATGATACCAAGCTGGGAGGGGTTGCGACTAATCTGCAGGATAGGGTCATAATTCAAAATGACGTGGACAAATTGGAGGAATGGTCCGAGGTAAACAGGATGTAGTTTAATAAAGACAAATGCAAAGTGCTCCACTTAGGAAGGAACAATCAGTTTCATACATACAGAATGGGAAGCGACTGTCTGGGAAGGAGTACGGCAGAAGGGGATCTAGGGGTTATAGTGGAACATAGGTTGAATACGAGTCAGTAGTGTGATGCCATTGCAAAGAAAGCAAACATGATTCTGGGATGCATTGACAGGTGCGTTGTGAGCATGACATGAGAGGTCATTCTTCCACTCTACTCTGTGCTTGTTATGCCTCAATTGCAGTATTGTGTTCAGTTCTGGGCACCGCATTTCAAGAAAAATGTGGAGAAATTGAAGAGGGTCCAGAGAAGAGCAATGAGAATGATTAAAGGTCTAGAGAACATGATCTATGAGGGAAGGCTGAAAGAATTAGGTTTGTTTAGTTTAGAAAAGAGAAGATTGAGGGGGGGACATGATAGCAGTTTTCAAATATCTAAAAGGGTGTCATAAGGAGGAGGGAAAAAACGTGTTCATCTTGGCCTCTGGGGATAGAACAAGAAGCAATGGGCTTAAACTGCAGCAAGGGAGGTTTAGGTTGGACATTAGGAAAAAGTTCCTAATTGTCAGGGTAGTCAAACACTGGAATAGATTGCCCAGGGAGGTTGTGGAATCTCCGTCTGTGGAGATATTTAAGAGTAGGTTAGACAAATGTCTATTAGGGATGGTATAGACAGTATTTGGTCCTGCCATGAGGGCAGGGGACTGGACTCGATGACCTCTCAAAGTCCCTTCCAGTCCTAGTATTCTATGATTCTATGATGGGGGCAAGTGATCAAAGCCCACAGATAAGTCATAAACATGGAGACCTAGGAGACAGGTGAGAAATTATGGGAAGCATGGGTTATAATAGCAAAGATAAAAGAGGAACAAGGCAGAACTGGGGGGGGGGGAAGGGGGCAAAAACAAATCAGTAACTTAGTTGTCTGTATACTAATGTGAGAAGTATGGGAAATAAGCCAGGAGAACTTGAAATGCTACTAAATAAACACAAGTATGACATAGTTGGCATCACAGAGACTTAGTGGGAAGATATGCCTGACTGCAATATTGGTAGAGAAGGGTACAGCCTGCTGAGAAAGGATAGGTGGGGAAGGAGGAGTAGGTGTTGCCTTATATATTAAAAATGTATATTCTTGGGCTAAGGTTGAGATTGACATGAGAAGGATATCCTTGAAAGGATAAAAGGGGTAAAAAAACAAGGATGATGTCATGGTAGGGGGTCTATTATAGACCACCTAACCAGGAAGTGGATGAGGCTTTTTTTTAAACAACTAACAAAATCATCCAAAGCGCAGGATTTTGTGGTGATGGAAGACTTTGACTATCCAGACATCTGTTGGCAAAATAACACAGTCGGGCACAGATTAGCCAACAAGTTCTTGGAATGTATTGGAGACAATTTTTATTTCAGAGATGGAGAAAGGCACTACTGGAGAGGTTGTTCTAGATTTAATTTTAACAAATAGGGAGGAACTGGTTGAGAATTTGAAAGTGGAAGGCAGCTTGGGTAAAAGTGATAATGAATTGATAGAGTTCATGATTCTAAGGAATGTTAGGAGGGAAACAGCAAAATAAAGACAATGGATTTCAAGAAGGAAGACTTTAGTAAACTCAGGTAGGTAAAGTCCCATGGGAAGCAAGGCTAAGAGAAAAACAATCGAAGACAGTTGGAAGTTTTTCAAAGAGACATTAAAGGCACCAGAGCACACTATTCCACTGCATGGGAAAGATAGAAAGTATAGCAAGAGAAAACCCTGGCTTAACCAGGAGAACTTGAATGATCTAAAAATAAAAATGGAGTAATATAAAAAGCGGAAACTAGGACAAAGTCCAAAGAATGAATATAAACAAATAACACAGGCATGTGATGAGCAACATTAGAAAGGCAAAGGCACAAAATGAGTTCAAACTAGTTAGAGACATAAACGGTAACAAGAAAACATTCCACAGGTTGAACCTCTCTAGTCTGGCACTCTCTGATCTAGCCACATCTGTGGTCCAGAATAATTTTAGTTAGATGGATGTCAAATTATGATGGGTGTGGCCAAGTTTCCTACAGTGCCATAAAGTTTTCTTAGAGCCTCCAGTCCCGGCTCTCTGTGTTGTGTGCTGTTATTTAGTTCCAGTGTACCACTAAATGTCTTGTACGAGCCCAGTAAGTGTTGGAAGTGTTGGTAATGCTGACAGACAATATTGACCTCCTGTGGTTCAACAAATTCTCTGGTTTGGTACCAGACCAGAGAGGTTCAACTTGTACAAATATATTAGAAGCAAGAGGAAGACCAAGGACAGGTTAGGACTACGTCTTAATGAAGAGGAAAAAAATAACAGAAAATGTGGAATGACAGAGCTGCTTAATGATGTCCTTGATTCAGTTTTCACCAGGAAAGCTGGTAGTGATTGGATGCCTAGCATAGTGGATGCTGGAGAAAATGAGGTAGGTTAAGAAGTTAAAATAGGAAAAGAACAAGTAAAAATTACTTAGAAAAATGAGATGTCTGCAAGTCACCAGGTTGATTAATTGCATCCTAGAATTTTCAAGGAGCCGATTGAGGAGGTATCTGAGCCATAATCTATCATCTCTGAAAAGCCTCAGCCTCCAGTGCTGCACCCGCACCCCCAGCCTGTAGGCTATCTGATGGGGTCTCCAGCCAACCATGGCCTGTCTGCAGCTTATCTGGTATCAGGGAACAAGGCTCCAAGGGTCAGCCCCAGCATCCAGAGGCTCCTCTGCAGCTTGCAGGCTCTCTGTGTGGGGATGCAGGTTCTTGGAGCTGCCTCCTGCAGGCTCCTCTCACACCCCCTATTTTCTGCTGCCTGTCCAGAGGAGGGACAAGACTCTAAGGGTGTGTCTAGACTACATGCCTCCTTCGACGGAGGCATGTAGATTAGCCAGATCGAAAGAGGGAAATGAAGCCGCGATTAAAATAATCGCGGCTTCATTTAAATTTAAATGGCTGCCCCGATCTGCCGATCAGCTGTTTGTCGGCAGATCG